ATTTCTCTGATGACTAATGGGAATGAACACTTCTTCAAGTGTTTTGGGGCCTAAGAGGTATCCTCTTTTGTGAAGTGCCCAGTCAAGTCTGCCCATTTTTCTTTTGGTTCAGTTTGCCTGGCTTTTTTTTTTTTTTTTTTTTTTGAGACAGAGTCTTGCTCTGTCACCAACACTGGAGTGCAGTGGTGCAGTCTTGGCTCACTGAACCCCGCCTCCTGGGTTCAGGCGATTGTGCTGCCTCAGCCTCCCATGTAGCAGGGACTATAGGCATGTACCAACACGCCCAGCTAATTTTTGTATTTTTAGTAGAGACAGGGTTTTGCCATGTTGGCCAGGCTGTTTCAAACTCCTGACCTCAGGTGATCCGCCTGCTGCGGCCTCCCAAAGTGCTGGGATTATGGGATTACAGGCGTGAGCCACCTCGCCTGGCCTGGCTTTTTTTAAAAAACATAATGACTTCTTTATATACTGCTCATATGAGCCCTTGTCAGTTATCTTTGCCCTGTCACTCTCATAAAGGTGTCATTTGAGGAACAAAAGTTTTTAATTTTAAGGTAGTCCAATCTATCAGCCTTCTCATTTATTATTAGTGCTTTGTGTTTAAGATACCTTTAGTACTCCAAAGCCAGGAAGATATTGCTTATGTTGTATTCTAAAAACGTTGTTGTTTTACAAAAAAAAACTTTTACATTAAGATGTACAAACCACCTGAAATTGGCTCTTGAGTATATAAAGTGAGGTAAGGGTAAATATTTATTTTTTTCCTGTATGAATATCCAGTTAACCTGGCACCACTTAAGCCATCTTTTCTTAGGTGCTTTGCTGCCCTCTTCATCATAACTCGTGTCCATGTATGCGTGGGTCTGTTTCTGGATTTTGTTCTATTTCACTGGTCTACTTGTGCATCTTTGCCCTGGTACCATGCTGTCTTCTTTGATAGAGCAAGTCGTCCTTCTTTGTTGAATATTTTTCAAGAGGACTTAGGTTTTCCTTTCCCTTTCCTTTTCATATGAAATCGAGAATGTGCTTGGTGTTTTCCACAAAAATAATCTGGAGTTTCGATTGAAATTATATTGAACATATATAGATCAATTTGGAGAGAATTAACATCTTTATGATACTGACTCCTCTAATCTACAAACATGGGATATCTTAATTGTTCTCAGTAATGTTTTTCATCTTGTTGAGGAGGTTTTGCTCATCTTTTTTCAGATGTATTTCTAGATATTTTATATATTTTTGGTATTGTTATAAATGGAATACTTTTAAAAACCTTATTTCCTAAGGATTGCTGTTATATAAATATACAGTTGATTTTTATATATTGGCTTTGTATGCAGCAAACTTTCTCAACTCACATTATAATTCTAATATTTTTAAATAATATTTTGGACTCTCTACATTAATAATCACTTTATTGGAATAATAATAGTTTATTTTGTTCCTTTCTAGTCTTATTGCACTTACTATGACCCCACCCCCACTACAACATTGTATAATAGTAGAGTTAGCAGGCAGGCTTGCCTTGCTCCTAGTCTCAGAGGCAATGCTATCAACATTTTATCATGAAGTATGTGATGCTTGGGCTTTTAGTGGATATCACTTATCAGATTAAGAAAATCTCCTTCCTTTTTTTTTTTTTTTTTTTTTTTGCCTAAAATCATTATATCGACTGAATGTTGAATTTTCTTTGGGACATGTTTTCTCTTGTTTAATGCTATAATCTGTTAATTATATGCTTCTTTAATTTGTTAATCTGATAAATTACATTGATTTTATTTATTTATTTAGAGACAAGGTCTCACTCTGTCACCCAGGCTGGAGTGCAATGGTGCAACCACAGCACTCTGCAGCCTCGACCTCCCTGAGCTCAGGTGATCCTCCCACCGCAGCCTCCCAAGTAGCTAGAACCACAGGTGTGTACCACCACACCTGGATAATTTTTTTGTTTGTTTTGTAGAGATGGGGTTTCACCATGTTGCCCAGACTGGTCTTGAACTCCTGGAGTCAAGCACTTCTCCCACCTCAGCCTCCCAAAGTGCTGAAGTGAGCCACTGTGCCCTGCCAATTTTCTGTATTTTTATTTTTATTTTTTTGAGACAGGGTCTCACTCTGTCACCCAGGCTGGAGTGCAGTGGTGCAATCACAGCTCAGCACAGCCTTGACCTCCTAGGCTCAAGTCCCATCTGGGCCTCCTGAGGAGCTGGGACTGCAGGCACACACCATTGGCTAGTTTTTTTTTTTTTTTTTTTTTTTTTTTTTGAGACAGAGTTTCACTCATGTTACCCAGCCTGGAGTGCAATGGCGTGATCTCGGCTCACCGCAACCTCCGCCTCCTGGGTTCAGGCAATTCTCCTGCCTCAGCCTTCTGAGTAGCTGGGATTACAGGCACGCACCACCATGTCCAGCTAATTTTTTGTATTTTTAGTAGATGCTGGGTTTCACCATGTTGACCAGGATGGTCTCGATCTCTTGACCTCGTGATCCACCCGCCTCGGCCTCCCAAAGTGCTGGGATTACAGGCTTGAGCCACCGCGCCCGGCCGCATTGGCTAGTTTTTAAATTACTTGTAGAGACAGGGTCTCCCTGTGTTGCCCAGGCTGGTCTCGAACTCATGGGCTCAAACAATTCTCCCATCTTATCTTCCTAAAATGCTAGGATTATAGGCATAAGCCACTGTGCCTGGCCTGATTTTTTAATATTAAACAAACTTTGCATCTCTTGAATATATATTGCTGAATTTGGTTTGCTCATATTTTGCATAGGATTTTAAAATCTATATCCTTGAGTAAGATTGGCCTAGAATTTTCCTTTTATGAGTGTCCTTGTCAGGTTTTGATACTGACTTCATAAAAACAAGTTGAAGTACATCTCTTCTTCTGTTCTCTGGAAGAATTTGTGTAAGATTGGCTTCTTGTGACTGTTTCACCCACCCTTGATACTATCGAGTAGAGTCTTGGTGAATGGAGGAGAATTTATGAAGGAGAATATATCCTTCCTGAGGTAAAATGACAAAAAAAAAAAAGGGACCAACACTTTTTCTTTTTAAGTAACTTGAGATGTCAGAGGTAGTTTTAGGATCATTAGGTACTGAAATATTTTAAATTTATTTTAAGTTATATAAATAGTGCTACTCATTGTAAAACAAAATGTCTTCTGTTTTTATTTCGGTTTTGGGCTTCATTAAAAAGGGGATCATGTTATGTCTTTTGTACTACAACTTTTTCATTTATGATGTAGCAGGGATATCTCTTCATATTATTTATCATTTATTTATTTTGTTAATTGAAGTTTTACATAATGTTCCAAAGTGTGTATCATCACGATAGATTTAGCCAGTTCTCCATTAGTGGCAACCAGTATTTCTGCTGTTGCCAAGGATGCTTAAATGAACATTCTTATATGTCTTTGTGCATTTGTGGAATCTATATTAAGATACAGAAATTCAACGGTAGGATCATATGTCATGTCCATTTTTCAGTTCAATAAATATTACCAAGTTGTCTTCCAAAAATGCCTAATGTTGTATCGTTTTGTTTTGTTTTTTGAGGCAGGGTCTGACTCCTGTCACTCAGGCTGGAGTACAGTGGCATGATCATGGTTCACTGCAGCCTCAACTTCCTGGGCTCAAGTGATCCTCATGCTTCGGCCTCCTGAGTAGCTGGAACTACAAGTGCATGCCACCATGCCCAGCTATTGTTTTGTATTTTTGGTAGAGATGAGGTTTTGCCATGTTGCCCAGGCTGTCAGCAGGAGGCCTCAGTTCCTCACCATGTGGTCCCTTCCAGAGGGATGCTTGGGAGCCCTCGTGTCATAGCAGCTGGCTTTCCCCAAAGCAACAAAGAGCAAGGCAGTAACAACAGTGTCTTTTGTGACCTAGTCTCAGAAGCCATACACCATCACTTCTGAAATATTCTAGAGGTTACACAGGTTGGCCCTATTCATTGTGGGAGGGAAACACACAAGGTGATGAATAGGAAGAGGTGAGGATCACTGGAGCCACTTTAGGAGGCTGGTGACCACAGATGGGACATGGATTGAATACGGAAAAGTCCATGGGAAATGGTCTTCTGTCTGGTTCAAGTGCTGATTATCAGGCCACATTTTCCCCAAGATTAAGAGCCATTAAGTTTGTAAAATGAGGATAGCAATTTATATTCTCAGCATTTTTCATAAGGTAAAATAAGATAGTAAATGTAAAGCACCCAACATAGGACCTCAAAAATGTTTGGAATTTTTTTTTTCTTTTTGAGATGGAGTTTTGCTCTTGTTGCCCAGGCTGGAGTGCAGTGGTGTGATCTTAGCTCACTGCAGCCTCCGTCTCCTGGGTTCAAGCAATTCTCCTCTCTCAGCCTCCCAAGCAGCTGGGATCACAGGCATGCGCCACCATGCCAGGCTAATTTTGTATTTTTAGTAGAGATGGGGTTTCACCATGTAGGCCAGGCTAGTCTCGAACTCCTCACCTCAGGTGATCCACCCGCCTCAGCCTCCCACAGTACTGGGATTACAGGTGTGAACCACCACACCTGGCCCCATGTTTGGAATTTAATAGATAGCATCTATTTGCGATTATTATCTTTTTATTTATTTATTTTTTCTTGTTCTTTTTTTTAAGAGACAGGGTTTCACCATGTTGGCCTGGCTGGTCTTGAACTCCTGACCTCAGGTGATCCGCCTGCCTCGGCCGATGTACCTTAAGACCAGCCTTAATAAATATACCTGGCAGAATGAATAAGTCATTTACTATATTAAGTTGGTCCTGAATTGTTTATTATATAAAAGTCCAGATAATTTTGCTGAACTAATGGTACCTACAGTATTTAAGCCACCTACATCAGTGTAGTTGCAGGATTTGTGTTGTTTAAGGCACACACACAAACACAGCTTGTATCTACTATTGGAATGTACCTGGAAAGTCATGGCCATTATACTGTTTTCTAGCAGGAATATGTATCTATGATTAGCAAGGGCTATGGAAGGATACAGAACTACCTACTCACCACATAAACAGGTGCACTGTAGAGAATCCACAGTCTTCTAGGTACTCACTTCTGTTATCTTTTTTTCCTCTAACAGATGGAAGTTTACTGTTCTGATTTTCATGCTGAAAGAGCAGCGAGAGAGAAAATTCATGAGGAAAAGGAGCAACTGGCATTGCAGCTGGCAGTTCTGCTGAAAGAGAATGATGTTTTTGAAGATGGAGGCAGGTAAGGAAAAAGAGACAGGAGGACCCAGAGCTCACATCAGCATTAGCTGTAGAAGAGGGTGCCTGCTCAAAGACGTTTCTGATTTGAACTATAAGAACAGCTCTGTGTGGGTTGAGGCTGCAATGAGCTGTGTTCACGCCACTACACTCTAGCCTGGATGACAGAGCGAGACCCCTGTCTGAAAAATAAATAATAGTAACCATTGCTTCACTTACACTTCACGTGATCATGTTCCCAACACTTAGTCTATCTTACAGGAAAACTTAACAGAGACTCTGGGAGCTTGATCAAGCTCTCTGCGTTTAGATAAGCTGAAAAACAGTAACATTACATGTCCCGGTGACCTCTGTTGCCATCGTCATGGATGAAATATTCATAGCACTTTAAATTCCTTAATATTCTTTTAAAAAAATACTGCCCAAAATTACTTCTTTTAGAAACTTATTTGAGAAAGTTTTAAAACACAGCAAAACACAGAGAATAAAATAACAAACTCTAATATATACTCCATCCTGCATTGACAGTTGCTTTTATTTGCTTCAAGTATTTTTTTATGAAAGGACAAAAAGCAGTTGTAGATAAGAGTTGAAGTCTCCTCTGTTCCCCATTCATCATTATATTCCTTTCTTCTTTACCTCCTGCTGTGAGGAATTTGGTGGGTAGCTTCACCATCTGTTTTATACTTTTTACATATTACACACACACCTATATCATATCTCAAAACCAGATAATATTGGTTTCTCTGTGTTTAAGTTGCAAAATGGTCACTACAGGTATTGTTCTGCAGCCTACTTTACATAATGTTGTGATTTTGAGCTCTATGTTGATATATGCAATGTAATGTATTATACTTCATTGCTGTATTTTGATTTATAAACATGCCACTTCTTTCTAATCTGTTTCCTGTTGATGACAGTTTGGTTATTTCCTGATGTTTTTAACTGTAATGATTTACTTTCACAGCTTAGTCTCCTAGTGCCAGTAGTATTTAAAACTAAAATTACTACTTGGAGGTGTAGTTTGACTTTTTCTCACCTGCTTCTGTTGACTGTCTACTTAATGTTGTCACGTTTCAGAGTTGTAGAACGTCACATGTAGTGTTGCTTTTCATCCCAGCAGGCAGTCCTTGATGGAGATGCAGAGCCGTCACGGGGCGAGAACAAGTGACGCTGACCAGCAGGCTTACCTCGTTCAGAGAGGTGAGTCCCATGTGATCCTGGATTTTCAGGAAATAGCTACCCTATGAGAAAGATGCTTGAAGAAAAAATCCACTTCATTCTATACAATGGATTCCAAATCAAGGCACCAAAAATGTAGCATCCGTCAGTCTCATTTCCACAGCACTCCCATCTCCATCCATTACCCACCGAATCCAGACCAGACTCAGACTCTTCACCCTGCCAGAGGGTGCCTGGCACAGCCACACTTTTTCTTTCTTCCTTTTTTTTTTTTTTTTAAATTGAGACAGAGTCTCACTTTGTTGTCTAGGCTGGAGCACAGTGGTGAGATCTCAGTTCACTGCAACTTCCACCTCCCAGGTTCAAGTGATTCTCCTTCCTCAGCCTCCCAAGTGGCTGGAATTACAGGTGTCCACCACCACGCCCAGTTAATTTTTGTATTTTTAATAGAGACGGGGTGTCATCATGTTGGTCAGGATAGTCTTGAACTCCTGACCTCAAGTGATCCGCCTGCCTCTGCCTCCCAAAGTACTGGGATTACAGGTGTAAGCCACTGTGTGCACCCTGCAGCCACACTTTTAAGCCATATCTTACTGTATTTTCTTACAGATACTAGCCAGACTGATTCAGCCCCTTGAACTTGTCCTAAGCCTGTGCTTGCAAGTATTTTGTTATGCAGTGCCCTTCACAGACGCCCTTTTCTTATGCATATTGCTGTCTTCCTCCAGTCTCTCTCCAGTGACCTCTTACCCCATCTTTACAATCTATTTCAAATTCCGTCTCCATGAACTGTTTCCAATTTGAACTTCCAAAGTACTTTATTCCTGTATGTTAGTATCTATCTGCTGTTTTATAGGTGTTTATATGTTCTAGGTAGATATTTTTATTTCTATTTTTATTTTGAGACAGGGTCCCACTCTGTTGCCCAGCCTGAAGTGCAGTGGCGTGATCACGGATCACTGCAACCTCTGCCTCCCGGGTTCAAGCGATTCTCCTGTCTCAGCCTCCTCAGTAGCTGGGACTACAGGGGCATGCCACCATGCCTGGCTAAATTTTTGTATTTTTAGTAGAGACAGGGTTTCACCATGTTGGCCAGGCCAGAAGTCTCGAACTCCTAACCCCAGGTGATCTGCCAACCTTGGCCTCCCAAAGTGGTGGGATTGTGGGCATGAGCCAGTGTGCATGGCCTAAGTACTTTATTCAATGATGCGCTCCCATGGAACAGTATTTTTACCCACTACCTGGTGTTACGTAATAATGTCACCATTTATTGAGCATTTACTATGTGTGGGCACTGTGCTGATCTCACTTTGTACATTTTGTCTCATTTGAGCTCACAAAATTCTAGATTTATAATCCTGCCTCCTTACAGAAGACAGATGAAACTTGACAGAGGTAAATAGCCCAGGATGGTGAAGCTAGTTCAAGGTAGATTGGAAGTGGAATCCAAAGTTACCTGACTCTGACCACTACACATTACTGCATAGAATAGATTGTTATTTAATTATGTAATATATTTAGATTTTAATTCCCCCAAACCCAAGTGAAATTGATCCATGAAATGTCTTAAAAGTATGGTGCTGTATTTATTACATGGTTTTCATACACTAATAATAATGTTCTCTAGTTTACAATAAAATCACTATATTACAGTAAATCACTGAAAGGGAAGTATTATCCTTGATTCTAGATATAAAAAAAAACAATAACATTCAAAGGATCAATGACTGACATAGCTAAAAAGTAAAAAATAAAAAGAAGTTAATGAAATGCCACTAAGAAGAGTTTGGCCTTAGGATGCCATCTTAAATTTCATGTGAAACTGGTTTTTAAATTCTTTTTTTCTTTTTTTGAGATGGAGTCGTACTCTGTAGCCCAGGCTGGAGTGCCCTGGCATGATCTCGCCTCACTGCAACCTCTGCCTCCCAGGTCCAAGTAATTCTCCTGCCTCAGCCTCCCAAGTAGCTAGGATTACAGGCATGCACCACCACACCCAGCTAATATTGTATTTTCAGTAGAGATGAGGTTTTGTCATGTTGGCCAGGCTGGTCTCAAACTCCTGACCTCAAGTGATCCACCTTCCCAGGAGAGGTCTGCTAGAACAGAATGTACCTTCTCAGAAGCAGAGGCAATGGTCTCATTTATTCAGCAGATACTTTTGAGTCCCCTGGGTTGTATAAGGGCCACTGTTTATGCTGGGAATGGGACAGCAGAGGCAGCCCTGGATCCTGACCCCTCGTCTCTGACAGTGTGGTGATTAGAAAGCTCCCTGCTTTAGAAATCATGCTTATGATCAATATTTATCTCTTCAGAAATGCTTCTTAAGGCTGCTGAACACAATCTCAAATATTCATACATGTTACTACATTCAAATAATATACTTAGAAGCAAATAAAGGTTACCTCCCAAAACAAACATTTTGAAGGCCAAAGTCTAGGCTAAGACCAAAAAACCAAGATGGTTTGCATTGGTCCAGAAACGTCAGAACAGAGAGATGCCTGGGAACCGGAAAATGTCCTGCATCAGTCACAGTGTGTATAGAACCTAGACCTACCTAGAGTCAGGGCTTATTTCACACATGGTCTAATTGAGGCTTGAACCTCAGTACAACTCCAGAACTCGGGGAAATGACAGGGTGCATGCTTCAGTCATTCCTCCTCTTTAACTTTACCTAGGTAAGTCCTGTTCATTCTCAATGCCCCTCTCTAGTTAATTGGTCTCATCTAGGAGGCCTTTCTGTACCAAGATCTAAACCAGGGGCCCTTCTCTTTCTCGCATGGATGCCCTCACCTGGCCTAACACTCGTGTCTGACACCTTGTCACGCCACTGCTGCCACTTCTCTCGCCTGGCTTTTCCACCACGTCTGTCTCCCAGCACACAGCAGTATCTCTCATACATCCCAGAGGACTCAAAAGCATCTGCCAACAAATGAGATGATTGCCTCTGTTTCTGGGAAGGTATACCTTGTTCCAGGAAACCTCTCCTGGGCTCTGGATTTCTTTTTCCACATTCCCTCCCTCTTTTGCTTATATCCTCGTTCATCCCTTTTCTTCGCTCAATTATCCTAGTGTTCACTAGAACATGCAATGTCCTGTACCTAGAACTGAAACCATGTATTTTCACATAAGTAGAAACTGGAATACAGTTTCAATCCTAAATGAATGCACCACTGCACCTGTAATCCCAGTATATGAGAGGCTGAGATGGGAGGATCAGTTGAGGCCAGGAGTTTAAGGTCAGCCTGGGCAACCTAATGAGATCCCATCCTTAGAAAAAATTTAAAAACTAGCCAGGTGTAGTGGCGTGTGCTTATAGTCCCAGCTACTCAGGAGGCTGAGGCAGGAGGTCACTGGAGCCCAGGAGTGAGAGGCCGTAGTGAGCTATGATTGAGCCACTGCACTCTAGCCTGGGAGACAGAGCAAGACTCCATGTGTAAAAAAAAAAAGAAGGAAGGAAGGAAGGGAAGGAGGGAGGGAGGGGTGAGGGAGGGAGGGAGGGAGGAAAGGAAAGAAGGAAGGAAAAGAAAAAAATCCTAAAATAGGCCAGGTGTAGTGGCTCAAACCTGTAATCCCGGCACTTTGGGAGGCCGAGGTGGGCAGATCACGAGGTCAGGAGTTCAAGACCAGCCTGGCTAACATGGCAAAACCCTATCTCTACTAAAAATACAAAAATTAGCTGGGTATGGTGGTGTGAACCTGTAATCCCAGCTACTTAGGAGGCTGAGGCAAGAGAATCACTTGAACCCAG